ATAAATTATTAATCACCCATGTACCTGTTCCATTGCTTTTTATACTAAGAGGGTGGGATGATGATGAGCAGAATCAAAGAGGTGGAGAAGTACCTGAGGAGGCTGGAGCACTGGTAATGGTAATTACGGTAATGATTGACTTCTTAAAGCAGAACATCTAGAAACTAAAAAGTTCCATGTTGTCACTATTTCCTTCCTTCTATCATCACAACTGCTCTTTTCTTTGTTTGGGTTTAATTTTTGGTACTTGCAGAAAATAAAAAACACGGGCCTGTACATTTAATTTTCTTTGGCACAAGGCCTGTACAGTTATTGAATAGATAAAATGTGTGATGATGATCTGCGGATGGTATTTGAACACCAGAAACAACTTCCTCAATAGAAAATCAACCTGTTAGGGTTCTTGACCTCATACAGTCTAAAAAAATAGATGTGGCAGATGATGAAACTTAACAGGAAATTGGCAGGATCATGTTGGAATTTTAAGGATCAATATATGTAGAATTTAGGATACCAAAATCTAATAAAATAAATACATTGTGTACCTGAATCTCCTTAATCAATATATTACTTAAGAATTTTTTCAAGGATCTTCAAAACCTACAAAACAAATATAATTAGTATTGGGATTTAGGTCCTCCTCTCCCTAATCAACTTTTGTATGGTAACAACTAATGGATCATGCCACTCCCTAACCTAATCTATTATAATAATTTTTTAGACATCCCATCAAGTAGCTCACCTTTACTTTTAGCTCCAACACCTATTCATATTACACTATATAAAAAGAAGAAGAACAGGGGGATGATAGTGAAAGGGTGGGTAAAGCAGCAAGAGATTCTAGCACATCCTGCCATAGGAGGCTTCATAGTCATTGTGGATGGAACTTGACAATGGAAGCAGCTCAAAGAGGAATACCAGTGCTGGCATGGCCTCTAGGTGGTGACCAAAGAGTGAATGCAGATGCTGTGGAGAAAGCAGGGCTCGGGACATGGCAAAAGAGCTGGGGCTGGACTGGTCAGCAGTTAGTTAAGCAAGATGAGATTCAGAGAAAGATTGATGCGTTAATGAAAGATGAAAAGCTAAGGAGTACAGCCAAAAAGGTGGGAGAAGAAGCTAAGAAGGCTGGAAACACTGGTGGGAGTTCGAAAAAGGTGATCGTGGAAATCATTGAATTCTTAAAGCAGAACATAACAAGCTAGAAAGTTCAATTGTGGCACTGTTTTCTTGTTTCTATCATCATAAACCGTTTCTCTTTTCTAGGAGTTACTTTTTAGTATCAGATTATCTGTTTATAGACAAGAAAATGCATGCCTACACATTATTGAAGAGCATATTTGTAGATTGTTATCTGCAAATAGTATTTTTCAACCAGGCAACTCTCTTAATAGAAAATCTACCTGGTTACTGTTCTTGACCTCATCCTGAGCATATTGACAGCGTCAGGCCATCAGGCTGCTAGATCTTGTGCAACCAGAGAAAGGGTCAAGGGATACTCCTAGCAAAAATTAAAAAGCGCAGTCTTTATCAATTCATAAAAGAAAGTTGACACAGTGACTGCAACCACCACTCAACGTTTGAGGAAATAAACCCAAAAACATGAGCATTGCAAAAAATGATTCAATGATTCTGCCCTTTATTATTTTAAATTTTATATGGATAATTTCAAACAATAAACATTCCAATGGTAATCAAACACAAACATTAGATCACTCAATGCAATATCCTATCATCCCAACTACAACTATATTGGGAGCAAGACCAGTCCATGTCATATATGGATACCTAATAATAACACCAAATAAGTTAGTATTGTCCATAGCGAATGAAAACAATTGTTGGACTTAGCAATACCTAGATGCTCCTCCATTTATTAAGCTCTCACATTTAATCAGTAATTGTTTCAAAACTGACCTTGGAAAAGAGCAAGCACACTGGCAAACAACAAAAAGCTCCGCTTTATCCTGACTATGACTTTTTAACAAGGAATACAAAAGATAGGGAGATTTTAAGGAATACCGCCTTTTTTTTTCCACATGTGGCCATTTGACAACCATGTAATTTTAGACATCAAAGCAATCTCTGGGCGAGCTCCAAAGTTCAGTGTCCAACCATTTCTCTGCCCTCACACTAACATGATGATTGTCTCTGTGTCTGCAAGATGACTTAATCAGTCTTAGCAAACCTTTAAATTAAGGGGAAAAAGAAAATAACAGCAGGCTTTCTTTTTGATCTTTTTGACCGAAGCAAAAACATGAAACTAAATTCATTTCCAATAGATTAGAAGAAGTATTGATCTAAAATCTTAAATTGTCGATTTTTGATATAATATATCATATATGCTTCCATGCAGTCTACACACCAGCAAACATTTACTGCAGAATCCAATATGAGATGCTATTGTAGGCAAAAGAAAGAATGCTATCTAAACACTCTCTCCCTGTAAATCCACACTTTTCACAACTTCATGTCCTTCCGAAGCAAATATATAATAACCCAATGACTAGGATAAGTAACAATTTGCAGTATTGCCCTCATGAAGGTCTCATGAAGCAGTTTTGGAGGGAGTAAGCTGTACGATAGTGCCATCAAACTGCACAAGTTCAGTTTAGTTAAACTGAAACTAGCTTAGTCTTTTGTGTATTTTTAGTTATATTTCAAGTTGAAGCCAGATGATCTAATGTGTACTTTTTTTTATGACAAAATGTTATCTTAAAAGAATTCCTTACCTTAAGCATAGAAAATGTTTTACTTAAAGAACTTTCGAATTTTAACTTTAAATTCTCTGTAACATACAAATACCAATAAATTGAAATGGAACTAGATTTCAGCTCTTTCAACCTCTCTCTCCATTTCTTTGAGAGAGAAAAAGCCGAACATGTCCAACACACAGGCAAAAATTCTAATGCCATTAGAAAAGTGTAGTTCAAAAAAATATTTTTGAATGTTGACTGGCTGCAAGATTGAAAATATCTTCGTCTTTCTGTCTGGCTTGAGTGTGTGTTGATGGCAACGTGAAAAGGTTAGCTAGATCACCAAACCCTCCATTGATAGGTCATAATTAGAGGTTTCCAGACTTTGCTATTTCATCAAGCCCTTTAGTCCTTTAAATTGACAAGTTTTTAAGTAAAAGATTATTTAACCTGCGCCTTAATAACAAATATTAATAGTGTAATAAATATATATATTTTTATTATTAATTAAAAAAATAAATATTAATTTTTATTTTAATATTATTATCAAGTAAATAATTTTAATTAATCAATTGATTAAAATCAAGTTAATTTTTATATTTTTATGTAAATTAATTATAAAAAGTCATTACACCGCTCTAACAGCATATGTTAAAAACTCTTAGTTAAAAGAAACCAATCCCACTACAGTTACTGTGTCACTGTTCAGGTATCCACTGCCTCTGGTTTCTAGTGCTATATAGTCGACCTTCACTCCTCTTTCAACAATCTTAAACATCGGCTTGGTGGGTCACAGGAACTCCTCCAAGTTTATATTGTATCTAGAGGGTTTGTCATTTTGAGGGGTGATTTCCGGCAGGGAGGAGAAACGTCCGACACGCATTCTGGACTGATTCTGGTCCATAAAAGCAGTATACAAGGCAAACCTAGACGGACTCGCAAAAGGCAGACATGGGTACTTTAGGGCAGAAACTGAGTTTTGATTGGAAGGTAGATTGAGATGTGCGGACTATGGGATTACAGTTTCACAGGGTCATCACTTCCACCCTCCAGCAACTGATTGCGCGCCAAATAGGAGCACAGCTCCTTTAACGACGTCGCTTGGTCAACAAGTTGAACGTTGACTGTGCTTCGAGACCCAAAGGTTTCACCTTTTGACTGTCTGGTTTAAGTTAGGACAACATCTTCTTGGGGTTAGCTAGATCACCCAACTACTCCATTAATGGTTGGAAGGTTGCTTCCTTCTGCTATTTTCTTAACCCACGTTTTAGAAAACCAGATTAAACCAATCCCAGGTACCCAAGCATCAAGCATTCTTTTTTTTTTTTTTAAACAATGTCCAGCTCCAAAGGTTCAGGAACCCCTAATCAGCCCCATATTGCTATCTTCCCGTGTGCCGGAATTGGCCACCTGACCCCTTTCCTCCGCCTTGCGTCCATCCTCCTGTCTCACAACTGTGAAGTTACCCTCATTACTGCCAAGCCTACAGTATCACTTTCCGAGTCAATGAACATCTCTTCCTTCCTCTCTACAAATCCAGAAGTCAAGCATGTTGAATTCCAAGTCCTTCCTTCAGAACCTCACAACAGTACAGATGATCCTTTTTTCCTTCAATTTGAAGCCATTCGCCGCTCTATGCACCTCCTACTTCCCTTGCTGTCTGATTTATCTCCACCTCTTTCTGCCATATTTTCTGACTTCGTAGTAGCTTCTGGTGTTCATCAAATTGCTGCTGATCTTGGCCTTCCACAGTATATTTTAATAACCACATCTGCTACATTTTTTTCACTTATGGCATATCTACCCAACA